TAGCCAGGGCGCGGGGGTGCCTGGCAAGGACCTGCCTACCCTCCCACCACTTCTGAAATTTCCTGGGACTTGGGCCTGGGGGAGACCAGGAGGCTCTCCATGCTTCTACATCCTCATATGCAACGTGGGGAAAACGTGAATCTGCCTCCTCGGGTTTTTAATGAGGATGCAATAGGTTAGTACTGATCCAGCATTTCGAATTGTGAATGTCTAATAAAATTTATTCATATAGAGAAGGGAGGGAAAGGAGAAGTAAAAGAATTGAGGTGTGTTAGGTACATGTACCACCTCCTCACGATGAATGCAATCAATGTGTACTCCAAAAGTGTACTCATAAAAATAAAAATTAAAAAATTAACAAATACCAGCCTTTATGCATTTGTAAGGCTAGAAAAGCAAGATGTAGAACACCAGGCCTAGTATCAGAGCGTTATTATCAAAGATAATGAAAAAAAATTAAAGATAACATATCTACACGCACAGGCCTCTACCAGCACAGAAAACGGTCCAGCAGAAAACATGTCCCATTACTAGTAGTGTTTCAGAGTAAGGAAGGGCCTTGGGTGGGGCTGGGGAAGCAAAAAAATTGTTTTAACAATTCTGCACTTCCGTGTTTTTTACTTTTTAAGTATAAATACAACAGAAAGGTATGAAAATATTTTAAACCCTTAAAACCACAACACTGTGTGCATGCATACAGCTGTGCCTAGATCAAGTCCAGACAGGCCTTAGGAATGGGGTGTAGTGGAGCACACCTGCAATCCCAGCACTCCAGAGGCTGAGGCAGGAGGATTGCCATGAATTCAAGGCCAGCCTGGGCTACACATAGTGAGTTCAAGGCCAGCCTGAACTACATAGCAAGACCCTGTCTCAAAACAAAACAAAATGACAGGCTTGGACTTGAGCCTGTAAGATACAGAGATCACCACCTGCTTTTTTGAAGGAATTTGAACAACTGTGCAGTTTAACCATAGTGTTTTGTGTCTATTTTGACTACACAGGCAACTTCCTTAGTAACATGAAAACAAACGATGTAGGTCCTGATTAACAAGAGCAATGTGTAGAAATAGAAAGATATAAATGTTCTGTCCTGTTAATAAGACTCATCTATCACCCACATGATGGCTCCTGCCCCTGACTGGGAGCCGGTGTTAACTTGCTTTTATCGGTATCCTCTTGTTAATTGCGGTCATGCTTGGCCCCACAATCTGCAGGGGAAGAGCATGGAATGACCTCCTCTCACTGTGCAGCATTTATTTGTTTGTTTGTTTGTTTGGTACCAGGGATCAAACTCGGGACCTTGTGCTTTCGAGGCAGGCAGCAGAACCACTGAGCTAAATCCCTGGCCTGCAGCATTTATTTGTGTGAAGAGGGGACCTGAGGCATCCAGGGAGAGTGAGAATTTTCCAACTCCTGCAACTTGCCTTGAACCTCATGTGAACTCTTGTCCCAGATTTAACAGACTGAAACACTTTTACATAATAGCTTCTGGTATGATTTTTAAATTTTTATTTAAACTGGGCATGGTGGTGGCACCTGCCTATAATCCCAGCACCCAGGAAGCTGAGGCAGGAGGATCATTGTGAGTTCAAGGCCAGTCTGAACTAAAAGACCCTAGACCCTGTCTCAAAAATATAAAAACAAAAATAAATAGATAAATATATATGTGTAATCTTTTTAAACATGTTTTTACAGCCCGCTTTTTTCATTTACAGTTTTATTTCTTATGTTTATTCATGCTAAAAAATGTACCTCTTAGCTGGGTATGGTGGTTCATACCTGTAATTCCACCACTTGGGAGGCTGAGGCAGGAGAATTGTTCTGAGTTAAAGGCCACCCTGGACTACATGGTGAGACCCTGTCTCAAAAAAACAAACCAAAAGAAAACAAAATGTACCTCTGATCCATTTTTTTCTGTTCTGTAGTAACCATAGTTTCACTATTTCGAGCTAGACATAGGTACACATGGCTCAATACCTAAGTGTTTCTATATATGTGGTATTAGGGTTCTAGAGGAACAGAATTGATAGAAATTATGCGTATAATTATGTGAGGGGATTTATTAGGTAAACTCACGGGAATAGAGACAAGAGAGCCCACGATGGCTGTCTGCAGGATGAGAAGTAGAAACTCCAGCAGCTGCTCAGTAAAGGAGACAGAATACAGTGGAGCAAGCCTATAATCCTAGTACTCTTGTGGGCTGAGGCAGGAGGATCTTAAATTAGAGCCCAGCCTGGGCAGTTTAGCAGCTTAGTGAGACTCTGTCTCAAAATTAAAAATATAAAAAGGGCTGGGGATGTTGCTCAGTTTAAAGGCCTTGGGTTCAACCTCCACTACCACAAAAAAAGGAGGAGAAGGAGGAGATTGGAAGCCTCGGAACAAAAGACATCAAGGACACGGCACCAGTCCAAGGTTGCAGGCCTGAGAGCTCCTGGAGGTTGATGGTCCAGTCCGCTTGGAAGGCTGAGGAACCTGGACACCTGGGGACCAGTGTCAAAGGCAATGGCAGCAAAGGATGGACCCACTCAGGAAGACTGGGGCTCTTCGCAACTGGGCACTCATCCTCCTTCTTTCTTTATTCTATGCACACTACAAGCCTAATGGTTGGCACTACCCACACCCAGGGTGGGTTTTTCCCCATTCTCTGGCCTCTGCGTCAGTGGTCACACACACACTTAGGACTTTGCTTTCCTAATCTTCTAGGCATTTCTTAATCCATTCAAGTTGGCATATCGTGTGTGTGTGTGTGTGTGTGTGTGTGTGTGTGTGTGTGTGATGCTGTTCCTTTTAACTTTACTGAGGATTGTAAAACTGCTCCTCATGTAGTTATTCCTATTCCCCCTGCACAGGCTGAGTCTAAAAGCCCGTTTCTGATTCTCCGCTGTCACCCCAGTTAGCATTATCAGATTTGAAAACATGGTGATTCATGGCCCGAGACTGTAGCTCATCCTTATTTTCATTTGCGTTGCCCTGCTGAGGAGCACTCTTTCCTTTCCTGTGCCACTTCATCCCTGACAGCGACGCTGCCCTGCTGTGGAGATGGAGGGGTTATGACCACAGCACCCACGAGAACGGCCCTGGTATCCACAGGCCCAAGGCTGGCACAGGAGGGGCCTTCGGCTCTTTCCCCACCTTGGCTCCTCTAGTTCTCCACATTTCTATCTCCTGGATACCGAGTGGCTCCATGCAGGGAGCTTGCTGATCCATTTCCAAGGAAAACAACTAAAATCAATCTCAGTTTCTCATGTTTTCTTGTCACATTGGAGGAATCCTAGTGAAACACAAGGAGCTTACGGAAGGAGCTCCAAGATTTTTTTCCCACATGAGAAAAACAAGATACGAAACAGCAGGTGTTAATGCGTTTGCCTTTAAAATTTAAGAAGGCATAAAATGCTGGTGTGAGATGGAACATTTGGGGGGACAATAATCTAGAAATAACAAAGAGTGGTGGCCTCTTTTGAAGAGATTGAGCGTTTCAGGCTTGGAGTGGGCAATAGATTTAGTTTCCATTTTATTTATTTGTTTATGGATCTATTTATTTTAGCAGTAGTCAAGCTTATTTGAGAAAGTAAAGGTGAAGAGTGGGGCAGAAACTGGCTCTGCAGAGTGAGCTTGGGCCAAGTAAAGGAGGAAAAAGCCATAAAAGGACACCCTGGAGAAAGCAGGGTGGGCTACCGTGAGGAAAGCCACCATAGCCTAGTTTCCATTTTAGATCTCTTGGTAATTTTTCTTTTCATTTGTTTTACCACCTCCAAACAAACAAGCCAGAGAATGTGATCTGATTAAAATACAGTTCATGAAAAAATAAAATAAAATAAAATATAGTTCATGAGTTTTGGTATTTCCAAATCATTTTTTCAGTTTGCCATTAATGGGTTCTTAAATACTGTCTCAGTCAGTTTGGGATACTATAACAGAATACCATAAATGGAGTGGCTTATAAACAAGTTTAGTTCTTATAGTTCTGGAGGCTAAGAAGTCCAAGATAAAGGTGCTGACAGATTTGGTGTTTGGAGAGAGCTGCTTCTTAGTTCATAAACCCTTGACCTCTTCCCATAATCCCAGGTGGTGGAAGGGAACATGGAAGCTTTCTGGGGCCTGCTTTACAAGGGCACTAATCGCCTTCACAGGGGTCCCATCCTCACAACCTAACCTCCTCCCGAACGCCCCAACTCCATGTGGTGTGGATTAGGTTGAACTGGAGAGGGTTCAGGAACATTTAGTATATAACAAATACAGAGCTATATGAAGGGGAGATTGCCTCTAAAACAGTTTGACTTTCTCTTTACCCCCCAAAGATTTCCTTTTTGGGTTTTTTTGGTACCAGGGATCAAACTCCAGACCTTGTGCTTGCAAGGCAGGCGCCGGAACCACTGAGCTAAATCCCCAGCCCAAGATTTCCTTGTATTACAAGGAACCTGTTATGGTTTATATCTCAATGTCCCCCTAAAGCCTCATGTGCTCCATAGGTGGAGTGTGAGGAGGAGGTGATTGGATCATGGAAGCTTGAAACTTATTGATGAGTCCACGGATGAATTTATAGCTAAATGTGATGTTGGGAAGTCAAGCCTGGTTGGAGGTGGTCACTGGGGCAACCCTGGAAGGGTCTATTCTTCCCTCCTCCATAATCTCTCTCTGCTTCCTGCTGCCACACTGTGAGCTCTTTCTCCTCTGCCATGCTGCCCTAGAGCCAGCTGACTATGGACTGAAACCTCTACAAACTGAGAGCCAAAATAAACCTTTCTTCCCTTAAGTTGTGTGTGTCAGTTATTGTGTCTCAGGGACGAGAAAGTAAATAAGACAGGATCCATACTGCTCTTTCAGTTTAAAAATCAGTAATGGATGGAGGCCAGTTTCACACCTTAAAAAAGAAGGAAAAACAGCTGTCAAACTCTTGCAAAATTGCTTAGAACAATGTTAGACGAGTCTTAGCTTTTCATTGCAGGTAAGTTGTGAAATTTACTTTTTCCATCTATAGAACAGGTAAGACAGTGACATACTATGTTGAAACCTCCTATTTATTAAAGAAAAGCTCTCATTGTGTATGCTGCCCAGGCTGCTGGCTCATTCACCTGGGGAGGCAGCAGATGGTTGTCACCCCTTTGAAATCCTCCTGTGAGATTGTTTTATCTCTGCTGCAGTCTGGAGATGATGCTCTCCTTGATGCCAGTAGTGCTTTCTGGTGGAGCCCTGGGCCCTGGAGACAGAATTTTGGGTGAGTGAAGACATTTTCTTTGGAGCAATCCAACTATCCAGATCAATCAAATCCCTTTCCCCATGGGCTTGAATACATAATTCCTGCCTACTATTTTTAAATGGATTTTTTGATCAAAAAATCAATACCTGGAAAAGTTGTTTTAAGGATAGGTTTTATGTTGGCAGATTGGATTTTTTGGGAGATACCGTAAAAGGTATTACTATAATAGTATGTATACTCATAATAATTTTATGTACTTTTCAATATACTTCCAGATTTTGTAATAATATATAAGATGTTTAAAAAATTGAAAGTAGTTTCATAAACTTTCTCCTCTCCTGCCTGCATAACAAGCTCTCTCAAAGGACAATTCCAAAATCTAAATCGATGTGGAAAATTCTATCCATTCACCCACTCTTTCTTCCAGTTATTTACCCAACACATCAATAGTATTGCACTCTTCATTAAGCTAAAGAAATACTTTGATAAATGACAAGCTATGGCAAATACTTCCAGGTATGTGAACATCCTACCACACTGCAGGGTTTTGGTGGCAATAAAAATTTCTTACTTTTAGAAAGAAGAGTTGAAAGCATAGGTTTGCATTTCTAATCCGCTGGTTTGATGACATCCGTGGGGCTCACCCTTTCAGCGTGGCCTGTTTTGCATAGATGTACATATTGGTTAGTTTGGGCAGGATTCTGCTGTAGGGAAAACCTCAGAAACATCGCTTGGAACCTCATGTTCGCTGTGGCTCAGCTAGGACTCGGCCACACCGTCATCAGCCGCGCTCCAGAGCCCAGGCCCGGGGCAGGGCCCCCCCCCCCCCCCCCCCCCAACACTGCTGCTCCTTCCTGCAGCAGCAAAAGAGCCCTGCAGGGCCTGGGCCCCGCAATGAAACCTCAATCTGGAAGTGGCGCAGGGCTCTTTGCCGCAAGCTCATTGGCCACGCAGATGCGAAGTTCATTTAGGACTAGGGATCAACAAGTGCTAACCCTCCAACCCACGCCCAGGCGCCTTCCTCTTGCTGCCACAGCCTAACTTGCTCACACACATGGCAGAGTATCCAGGCACTGTCACCACCCAGGTAGCTGTTCTCGATGCCAAGCTGATGGGCGGTGGGATGGTCATCACTCCCTGGCTCTTGGAGGTCCTGCAGGGGACGCTTCCATCAGGCGCTCTGATTGGCTGCTCTCCCTTCCTCCCCACTGCTGGTGTTTCCTGGGATCATGTCACACGTAAACTACCAGGATGCACTGTGTAACCATGGGGATCCGATCTGAGACCTGCATTGCCAGCCGATTTGTCATTGTGTGAACATCAGAGCTACGATGTCACTAGGTGATTTAATCCTATGGAACCACCATCCCTGACTGCCATGTCTTTTTTAAAAATTCATTTGTTTTTATTAGTACATCCCTGCAGTACACAATATTTACATTTCATGCGTGGCGTTGGTACATATACATAACCCATCCCAATCCCTTTTTTATCCCCTTTCCCTCCTCCCCCTTCCCTCCCTCCACCCCTTGATCCCTTTCTCCTTGCAAAAAGACCCATCTCCCTACTTCCTATAGGCTGTCTTATATTTTGCTCTTTATTTATATTGGGGGTTTCTCATCCAAGAGAAACCGTACACTATTTAAGCTCGTGTGTCTAACTTATTTCATTTAGCATTACGGTCTTAAGGTCCATTTTCCTACAGAGCACCCAAGCATATCCTTCTTTTTTTTTTTTTGTACCAGGGATCGAACTCGGGACCTTGTGCTTATGAGGCAGGCGGTGGGACCACTGAGCTAAATCCCTGGCCCGAGTGTATCCTTCTTTATGGCAGAGTAGTACTCTGTTGTGTGTGAATCCTGCATTTTCTTTATCCATCCATCTGTGGATGGCCACAGGCACTGCTTCCAAAATGCAGCTATTGTGCACTGTGCTGCAGTGAGTGGACTTGTGAGAGAGACCTAGTCTCAGAGGCAGCCTCTGGAGTTCCACTTAAAAACAAGACCTATCCATAAGGTCACCTCGAGGAGACCTTAGTAGCCACTAAATGGCCAAGTGGCCACTAGCTGACCACAGTGGGGTTTGGCTCCTGTCTGGAAAGAGAAGTAGATGGTCAGTCTACAGGAGGGCTTTTTTTGGATAGGGTATTAGAGAGGCTTATTAAATCATCATTTTTTAAAATTAAATTTTTTTTTTGTTTCTTTGAGACAAGATCTCACTACATAGCTCAGACTGGCCTTGAACTTGCTCATGATCCTCCTACTTCTGCCTCCCAAGTGCTGAGATTACAGATGTGCATCACCACACCTGATGTGATCACTGATTTTTTTTTTAAAGAAGATATCTTATTTCTTGGCACACACCTGTAATCCCAGCACTCTGGGAGCTGAGGCAAGAGGATCCTGAGGTTTTAAAAAAATTTTTTTTGGCACTGGGAACTGAACTCGGGACCTTACGCTTGCAAGGCAGGTGGCGGAACCACTGAGCTAAATCCCCGGCCCTAGGAGGATCCTAAGTTTGGGCAACTTATTGACTTAGTGAGACCCTGTCTCTGAGAGAATCTTTTTTTTTTTTTTGGTACTGGGGATTGAACTTGGGTCCTTGCATTTGTGAGGCAGGTGGTAAAACCATTGAGCTAAATCCCCGCCTGAAGACCCTGTCTCAAAAAGGGGTGGGGGCTGGGGATGTAGCTCAGTGCACAGGCCCTGAGTTCAATCCTAAAACAAAACAAATCTTACTTTCTTCTCTGAATATATGGGTTAAAAAGGATCATTAGTAAATTTTGGAAAACATAGAAAAGTGAATATAAAATAATTAAAATCATACATAATAGCACCTCTCAAGAATAATTTCTTTGAAAGCAGAGGAGGCATTGTGGCTCTTTGGTCCCAGCCCATGCTGTCTCTTGACCCTGACCGTGTGGAGGACCTGCAGTCCCGTGACCTGAGTGTTGTTCTGACACTGCATGGGGCCAGAGCTTGAAGGAACATGGGGAGGTACAGTGACTGCTGGACTTTGATGACGCAGAACAGGAAGCCCGGGGTAAACAGAGCTTTTGCTATCGAGGAGTGGAAATTGGTTGCCAATCAGTGCTTTCAAGTGCAGGGCAGGAGTTTGGGGGAAAATGGGAAGTTATAGAACATAGTAGAGAAAATTAGAAAATGGAAATCTCTGGCCTCATAGTGAGGTTTATTTAGATGATTGCACCATTGTCTTTCCAACTGTGAGGAAATGAAAGTTGGCACAGGACACAGCTAGTGACCGAAACTGATTTCCTGAGAGGCACAGGGTGTGGATTATCGAGGGAGGCTCACATGGGGCCTGGTGACTTGTTTTGCTGTTGGTATTTTTGGGTGGGGTTTTTTTTTGTCTTTTTGAGATAGGATCTCGCTATGTAGTTCAGGTTGGTCTTGAGCTCAGGCTGCCTTGAACTCACAGTAATCCTCCTGCCTCAGCCCCCCAAGTGCTGGGATTACAGGCATTGGTGCACTTCACTTATGTTCAGAAGCAGATGTTTGATGAACCCTGTCACATCCTGTAGCCACCTGATTTCAGGCACCTTTGGGCGACAGTTCCTGTGCTTTGCCAGCACCCTCTACCACGCACACATGGGAGCATCTCTGCCTTCTCTAAGCTGGTATCAGGCCGAGAGCCAAATTCAGGTGCAGCCTGAAGTCCTGGGACTGACAGCCCCCAGAACCATGGGCCTCCCACAGTGTGCCATGAGGTTGGATCCAGCGGCCCTGGCCCTTGGAGTCCCTGTCCTGCACCTTCTCCGGAGTTCCTCCAAAGGGCACCTCAGATGTCCCCAGCGGTAACCGGTCCTTAGCACACCTGGCCTTGGCTTTCTCCTGTCTGTCTTGTCCCTCACTTCCTATTTCTGCTTCCTGGGGTCACCTCCCAAATACACCACCTGTCCTCCTCTCTGGTAGCTTTAGGGGGACGTGATATCAGATGGTGGCTGGTGTCCAATGGTGAGGACCCAGCGCGGCTTGTTGACGCGACATTTGTCCTGACGGACAGGATCCACAAGGTGGTTGGCACGCTGTCCCGAAAATCATCTCACAGCTGAGATCTGCCAGCAGAGGAGCACGGGATGCAGCTTTCCTGGTGGCTTCTGAGGTTCTAGCTCCAGAGAGGAGGTCAGGAACAGAAATACCCTCAGCTGCGTCTGCTGGGCCCTGTGCTGAAAGGCCTGGGTGTGAAAGTGGGGAGGAAAGGTCGTCTGAGGACATTTTATTTTTCTACACTCAGTTCAGGCCGATGTCAGAGTTGTTTATTTGAGTTCTGCCAATAGCCCTGGGAATGTATTTAGGTGCCAAGGACAACATGAGGACGTGGACTAGGAACCCCATGCTGCAAGGCCTGGAAGGCAGCAGGGGAGCATCTGGGGAAGGGGAGTGGGCCCTTCGGAGGAGGCCCCACGATGCCCATCATCTTCTGTGGGTGTCACACATTCCTCATTGGCTGATGAGGCACTGTTCAACCCAAGCACCAAAGAGAGATCATGCAGGAGGCAAAGGTGTAGCTCTCAGGAGAACAGTATTGCCTGGTGTGGTAATGCAGGCCTGGGATCCCAACACTTGGAGGCTGAGGCAGGAGAATTGCTGTGAGTTTGAGGGCAGACTGGGCTAAAAGATGCCAGCAGCCTTCTTCTGCCTTTACCCAAGGAGGCTGAACTCCTGTTTTCCGGTTTCCCCAACTTCCTCTTGTGCTCATCCTGGGTCCAGGGACTCACCATTAGCAAGGCTGTGCTTAAAGATCAGGTTGAGGGAGGGACTCTGTTTAGGATGGAACCCCATGAGGGGCCTCTCCAGGCTTTCCTGTCCTTCCCTGGGGGGCAGATGGTGTGGCAGAATCAGGTGTTGGGAGTATTGGGTGAATGGAAAGTTCAAAAATCAAAAGGTCAGGATGGGGAAATCACTCAGCGCTCTTGCAAGCTGTGGACTACAGCTGGCACACACCTGTAATCCCCATGCTCAGGAGGCTGAGGCAGGAGGATCACCCTAAATTCAAGAGCAGGCTGGATTCCAAAGTGAGGTCAAGGGTAGGACTACATTGTGAGACCTCATCTCAAAAAATAAAAAAATAAAAACAAAAACAAAAATCAAGTTGTGCACTGGGCTTTCAGGCAAAAGATGCCCACCTAAAAATCTTGAGGTAAGGAGTTCACTTAGGTCTGGGGATTTAGCTCAGTGGTTCCATCACTTGCCTCGTAAGCACAAGATCCTGAGTTCGATCCCCGGTACCAAAAAAACAAACAAACAAAAGAAGTTCACCTGTGGATATTTGGAGTGATTCCCTCCCTAGACCTGGCGATGATGATGACACCGGTCTAGATGTCCCTGAAGCAGCAGCATTAGCATAGCTGCCCCGAAGGCCACTGTGATAGTTTCTGATCTGGCTCCTGAGCCATCTGGAGCCCTCAGCAGCTCTAGGGTCCACTGCCACTTCCTGTTCAGTCGGCCACATGAGAGTAGCAGTGTGAATGCTGGAGAGGCTCAGCAGGGAGGAGGAGGTTGTGGAGGAGGAGGAGAAGGAGGAACATGTGCCCAGTAATGGTAGTGCTGAGGAGCAGACCAGAAGCAGAGGCCTGGGAAGTAGACGAGGAGGGGGTCAAAGGTGATGGTGAGCAAAAGGGTAGAGGAGAAGCTAGGAAGGCTGAGGCAGCTACAGGTAAAGGAGCTGCTGGAGGAAGATGACCAGACAGCGAGAGAGGAAGAGTTAGCCAGGCATGCTTGGAATCCCAGTGCTCTGGGAGGCTGAGGCAGTAGGATTATGGATTTGAGTCCAGCCTGGGCAATTTAGCAACTTAGTGAGACTCTGTCTCTAAATAAGAAATAAAAAGAGGGCTGGGGATGTAGCTTAGTTGGAGGGCCTGGGTTTAACCTCCAGTACCAAAAAAGAGGCTGCATGACCTGGTAACCTTAGCTTCCTATTTCAGAACCTAAACTGGCCACCAGGAAGTGGGGAGGCCACCCATTTCGATCATTTTCCTCTTTTTCTGTTTTTTGTTGGAAGTGCTGGGCTTAAACCCTCCTGCATGCTGCGGGCACCTCCATCACTCAGCTTCACCTCCACCCCTGTTGTTTTCTCCCCTGCAGAGCAAGCATTTTTTTTTTTTTTAATCTATGAGGATGCTATTTATTTGTTTCCCAACTTTTGGTTTGTTTAATGTCGGTGTGAAATAACATTGCCTAACAATGAACTGGAGCTTTCATTACTTATTATGGGCCATCTTCTAGGCCCTTTGTACATATTGATTCATTTATCTTCATAATGTCACTGGCTAGCATGGTTCTTAGCTACACTGGATGGAAACCATAGTTTGGACTAATTAAAATACACTCCCTGACTTGCAAGTGCAAGGTCCTG